ATGTTATTAAAATAAAAATTACAGGTAACTTTGGTCTTTAATCAAATCAAAACATGACGTAACTAATTTGCTTATAATTTCTTATAAATAGCTAACAGATATAACCATAATTTGTCTACTAAATTCAGCGATTTGATAAAATTTTGATAAAGAAAAATTTTAATAAATAAGAATTATGATCAACAAGACAAATTTCGTGATGTTAATTAATTTCTTTAATTATGAGATCATATAAATTTCACTGTTTCACTCTGTCGTATGAACGTCCGCACGCTCAGCCAAAAAAATCGCGTTTATAAATGTACAACAAATGTATTCGCTTAATATATACATGTGCATCGTGAGAGATGAGCATTGCACCGAAAATAAATTTAGTAAATTAACACAAACGAACACGTGTCTACACAGACAGAGAAACAATGCAAATAGCAGCCAACAAATGTCCACGTAAGTGTCGCAAGACAAGATTCGTACTAAAAGCACCAGATCTTTTGATCTATCGATATTTCTTCTATCTCTTTCCTTTTTTTATATGCTGAATCTTACGTGATGCATACGATCGAATATATTAATCGTGAAACGAAGAGAAACGGAGGACGATCAAAGAAAATGACGGAAACGTCGGCGTATCGACGGCCGTACGACTTGACAAGTTGAAATTAATTGCATATCGCGAGAATGTGTGATCTCTCTGTGTGATTACGCGATCTATGCATGAGAGAGGCACAGAAAGCGAGAGAGAAAGAGAGAGAGAGAAAAAAGGAGAGAAAGTGTGAGGCAGGTGTAACTACAACGGCTGACAATAAAGAAATCGCGGAGAGGAGAATATGACCTGATGCTTTCATCCGTACGACCGTCGATCGTAGGGGTGATGCATAGCATAGTAATATCACATGAATATGTCACTGTGTAATATCGTTCTCAAATATTGACACATACCTACGCGCGCGCGCACATTTATGGAACCTTTTTTCCGGCCTGATTCGTTGTTAATTCTGTACCGAGCCACAACACAGTTCCCTCTCGCTTGGAATATATATAATATATATATGTATACATATATATATAAATACATATAAATATATATATATACTTTCGATATATACGACGAAGAGGCAGTTCAAAGGCAAGACGCGAGACAAAGAAATTATGACGATTATATTTTATAAATAAAAAAAAATTGACATGTGATATAGATGGTAAGGCACGCGAGAATGCGTTGCGATGCATTACGAAAGCAAATGTATTCTGTATATCGTTTCATTAAATCTACTAAAACGACGGATCGACTAGTTTTTTTTCCTTTCTTCGCATTCCCTATCTCTTTTTCTTTCAGTTTTTTTTCTTGCTACGTCTACTTATAACAATCCCGTGATGCGTCCAAGAGTTTTTTATTCAAGGGTAGCTTTTCACAATAACCCATCCTTCTTCGAAATTGCGTACACCTGGTCGTATAGCTCTAAGCACGTCACACCGGTTCTCTAGTAGAACTCAAATATGCGAAAGAGAATAGTATTGAAGTGCAGATGTCGATACTGTTTTACGTAATGTTTTATTTATGAACGTTTTCATTGATAACGAACGAACGTGAATGATAAAAAAAATTCCTGATCGTCGACTAATTAAGAGAGAACTGTTCGCAATTTTGATGGATATGCCATATTATAAATTAGTAAATAATGCAATTTTAAAACTGTATTATCGCGAATTTGTATGAAATGCTCTTGAAGAAATCACTCTAAGATATAATGCTAATAATTTTATTTTTAAGATACTTTCTATATGCGTTTTCTATATGCAAACAAAGATAAGAGAATATCAGATTCAAATAAGAGACTAAAAAGATCTAATAACAATAATTTAAATTTAATGAAATAAAAATCATGATAATAAATGTTGATTAAATAAATGAAAATTATGATTAAATCTTTTTATTACGATTTGATATGTGATTATAATACTTTTTAAATAAATGAGCTATTTATTATTTCTATATGGAAAGAACGATTTGATTGAAGTAACTAAAAATTTAAGTAGAGAGATAACGGATATTTTTGTTGGGGATTTTTAAATAGGTAAACATATTTTTGTTGGAATTTATAAAAATAATTACGTAGGAAAGCATGATGAGCAATGTTGCTAAAACATTTTGATATTCTAGCAATCAGTTTAAACATCTTACATAATTATTTTGATGAAAATAATTTTTTTGGATTTGTGTTTCTCACTAAAATTTTAGATACTTCAATCCATTCATTTCGAACAATCATACGAATCATATTCTTTATTTTATATTATATTGAATATCTAATGAGATTTTTGAATATTAAATGACAATTATTGCGCCTTTAACATTTGTAATTATATTTAAAATAATTACAAACGTTAAAGGCACAATAATTATCATGATATTCAAATAAAATTATCGATGATGTAAAATTATTTTACGAAATTGACACATTTTTAAAGAGCCAACGTGGTTTCGGTCAAATTTTATAACGAAAATCATGGATATAAGAATAAAGTATAAATAAATAATTTATAGACGATAATCACATACTTTCTGGAGGAGTTAAATTGTATCGAATAATAGTTTGCCGATAAATTTTCGCTGATCTATTCACAGACACATCGCAATCATTCGTTGTTGAAGCATTAACCCTCAGCACTAGACCTCAGTTCAATTTTGTTCAATAGTTTAAAAACACCCACTACCGTACATAATAATGTTACATTTTTCATCATTTTTTTATAATATATTGATTTATAATAGATGTTCAGTCAGGGACGAGCCTAGTCAGAGATGGCCAAAGTCAAGATTCATTAAATTACAAATGCGACGAAATCGCAGCTTCCTGAGTACGTATTATGGATTTGTTCTGAACAATTCTATAATTCCGATCAGAATTATTCCGTTTTTCTTAAAAAAATATAACAGAAATACAAGGGAATAAATATAATTCCGACCGGAATTCATTCCGAATAATTCCATAATATATCTTAAACGTTGGCGTCTTCATTAAAATTGTCTTTTATTGTCTATTTCTATTGTTCATTTTCTATTATTCATTTTATATTGTTCATTTTATTAACAAACATTAACTTTAATCTGTTATAATTATTTCTACGAATGTAAATTAACTTTAGAATCAGAGAGAAAAAAATAAAGAGTAAGTTAAAATTAATCTATAATGTCCATTTTTATCTATATAGATTAGCTTTAACTCACTCTTTATCTTTTATTAATTCTTTGGGACTAAAAATAGAGAAAAAAATAAGAAGCAAGTTAAAATGAGAGTAAAGCTAATCTACATAAATTGACATTGTATATGTGTTAATTTATTCTATATTTCCCCTGGTGGAAAAATGTTGTTGAAAAATTATTCCACGTTTTGAAACTTTCCAACAAAATTTCAGCATTTTAAAAAAAATTTCAGTTTATATATAATTTCAGTGACTTTTAGCTGAAAAATTTATTTTCAATAAAATTTCAGAAAAATTTCAGCAAAATTTTCAGACAAATTTCAGCAAGAATTTTAGAGAAATTTCAAAAAATTTCAGAGAAATTTGGGTTGGATTTCAGTGATTTTTCAGTATGTTAGCTGAAAAATTCATTTTCAGTGAAGTTTCAGCAAATTTTCAGCAATTTCGTTGAAGTGTTCCAAAACGTGGAATAACTTCAGCGAAACTTTTTCACCGGGGTCTATATCTTTTATCTAAGAATTAGAACTAGAAACAGATAAAAATAATTTCTTCCTTTGTCTTCTTCTTTCTAGTCGATTTCTACATACAAATAACTATATACGCACATTTCTGAGATAGTAAAATTATTTTTGCACGCGGGCAGCCAACTCTTTTTGCACGCCAGAGGCACCAGAGGCGTGCAAAAAGAGTTGGCTGCCCGCGTGCAAAAATAATTTTACTATCTCAGAAATGTGCGTATATAGTTATTTGTATGTAGAAATCGACTAGAAAGAAAAAGACAAAGGAAGAAATTATATTTTATCTGTTTCTAGTTCACGCTGTATATAATACATCTGAACAAAAAAATGTTAGCGAGAGATAAGGAGTCGCATCACATGTTGCAATAGACAATGAAGTAGAGGGAAAAAAGTTTTTTTAATAAATACCTACTGTGTCAAGTAAGGAAATGATTCAACAATTTTTTTTGGGACACACGTACAATATAGCGTGTGGTCCATTTGGCTCTGCAATGCTCTTCATTTTGATTGACCAATCGGAAAAAAGAATTTTACTAGTTATGATCAATCAAAAAATACTTCGAAGCATTTGTAGCATCAAATGGACCATAGTCGTAGCTAATACAGAATCTATTTCAAGTATTCTCAAACAATCCAAACTATTCAATCCAAACTGTTCAGTGAGTTGCTGTAACATTTCTACATATACAAAGCAACGGTTTATAGATGAATTTTAGTAAATTCACTTAATTTTGTAAATTAAGTGTTGTGCCATGAAAGAAAAGCGATGCTCGCGCGGAAAATTTATTTCAAACGTCACGGAACGTCGAAAAGCCCACCAACGGTCAAACTTGCGCAATGGGATATTGCACGACCAATGCGATTGCTCGCAGCAGTGCCAGGTGGCGCGCGTGTCTCGGCCGGCGCATGCGCAGTTCCTTACTGCGATGAGAAAATAGTCCGCTTTCGCGAAAACACGATACGATCGCGGGAGAAATGGCAAGAAACGCAACGACGAATTTGTATCTAGGATAATCATCGCGATCGTGTTGAATTTTCGTCGCTTGTCAACGGCGAGTTACGTTTTTGACATAGGCGTACTCAGCGGTTCGTACGCAGCGGGCGCGAGAATCTCAAAGGCTGCCGGATATTACTACGCCGCACGTTGTATGCGAAGGAAACCCGGAGTACAGAAGGAGAGAGCGAGAGGGGGCGATAAATCACGCAGCTGGGCACCGCGAGAGAGAGAGAGACGGACGGAGAGAGCGGCCTGATCGGCCCGCCAGCGCGCCACCAGGCAGGAAGTTGACGTCAGAGTGGGGGCAACGTCGAAGGCAGTTGAGTCGGTGGTGGCTACATGTGGATGTCCGCCGGTCGTGACGAGAACTTTCGTACCAGGGAGCAGACGTTAACTTCCTCGCGTCGAATCGCGGGAGCCGTGACTTATTACACCGTGAACGAGAGCAATCCGCCGTTAACCATGCAGATGGACCCGACGACGTTGCAGCTGATCCAAGTCCTCGAGAGGACCGTTTCGTCGGGTGAGTGTCGGAGTCGTACCGTCGTGGCGACGTTACGGGGACCGGCGGGCTGCTTTCTTCCACTCAAGGCGTCTTCTCGAGATTTCTCGAACGAAAGCGCGATGCTGACGCGATGCTGGTGCAACGACGACGGCGGCTGCGAGGCAGCAACGAGGGCGATGGCGAGCCCGATTTGGAGCACACGAGAGAAATATCGGAGGAACCGCGTGCGCGTCATCGTTCTCGGTTCCAGCGAGGCTCGTCGCAACGTGTTCGGATCGGACGGCCGCCGCCTTAGCCGATCGCGCAATTTTTCCACCGACACGGCCGCCGTCGTTGTCTCGTGGACGGGACCGTGAGCCATTTCGCATGCTGTTAGGTCGCGATATCGCGCCCGATCGCGCCCCGTCGTGCTGTTGCTAGGCGCTTTGTTCGCCGTCGGAAAAGTATTGTCCCGTGTGACGGTTGCTGATATTCGCACGCATTGGCGCGACACGCATCGCGAGGCGCCTCGCTTTCGTCTAACCTATGGTTTTCCACGATTTCTGGCGTGGCACTAGTCCTTAGTACACACAATGCTTTTTTTCAATTCTTTATTACACACGACGATTATGATCTTCGTGTCTTAGGTTAATTTTTATCACTTTCACAAAAATTATTAAGCGATTCTTTAACGTATATTTTAATTATCTTTAGAAAGTACGTATAAGGTGTACTAAAAAAATTGTACATGAATGTTATAACTAATTACTTGGAGTGCATTTTGTTTCATGCATGAGGCGCATGATGTATCATTTTATTCATTTCATTCTTGTTAGTCATCAAGTTATTAAAGAATACAATGATACATTATGTCTGTTCGCGTTGCTTGAAATCCCTAAATTTTTTGCACTGAAATGAGATAAGTATATATATGAGCGTTGAAGAGAAAGAAAATGAAGATACTGAGTGCAGAAAGTACAAGCAACGCGAACAGACCAATTATGTTTATCATGCACGAAACAAAACATACTTTTATATCAGTTTTTATCAATGTAGTTTAATTTCAATCTCAGTTGAGATTGAAACTAATTCTTTATTTATCTCGTTCTAAGAATTAGAAAGAGATAAAGAATAATTTAAATCGAGATTAAAGTTAATCTACATTGGTAGAAATGGCATTAGTATTTCAAAGAAAAGAAATGCGCAGGATACGAATGATCCAATCATGTGTCAAGGGTTAATATTAATTATGACATATGAATATAATATGTTTCTTGCATTTTTAGACAAGAATGAGCTGGTGGCAGCGCAGACTTTCCTACAGCAGGCGGCTGAAACCAATCTCGTGAGTATAAATTTGCCACTGTGCTGCTATGAGATTTATGACGTTAGTGCAAGAAGCATTCAATTGCAATACTCGGTGGTATGTGTGTTTCAGCATGAATTCGTGCAACGACTCAGCGCCGTGCTGGTCACAGTCGGCGCGAGCCCCGTCGCCCGCATGGCAGCGGGCTTACAGCTCAAAAACCAACTTACCTCCAAGGATCCTGATATGAAGTTCCAATATCAGCAACGTTGGCTTACTATCCCTGTTGAAACAAGGGAATATATCAAGAAAAATGTAAGAAGTGTTATATTTATCATATTTTCTCATATTTTAACATTTCAGTCTATTTAATATTATGTAGAGATAACATTCTTTCTTCTGAAAATTATAATTATATATTGCTTGAAGTGAATACGAAACAGAAATGTTTTTATTTTATCTGTATATACTTTTATACTCAATTTTATTTTTATGTTTACTCTTACTTTTAATGCCTTTTATAGATAGGTAAGTGATAAGATAGTAAAGTGATACAATTCTGAACAAAAGATGTGAATTCAATTTCGTGGTTCAAGTTTGATAAAACACTAATTTATAAAAAAATTTGTTAATTATTTTGAAGTAGACAAGGTGTTTTTTTATAGATTTTTTAATAGATTTTTGAATACTGAAGACAATACTGCATCTCAAATTATAAATTTTACTAACACGACGTTTCTGAAATAATAGAAATTTCATGTGCAAAAAATGGTTTTTTATATTTGACATTTTTTTAAATAAAAATTAACATTACCTTGAAATTCTGACAAGTCATGAATGTATTGTTGATCTCCTATAAAATTGTTTTTTAAATTTTAGTATCTTATTTTTTGGCATAGCATGAAAGATTTAAATATAAATTTTTCTAAGATAGTATTTTTCACCTCCAACGATGAAATTATATATTCTTATAATTTGTAGGTTGTGACATTGGCAAATTCAGAGATTTGTCAAAGAGGCCACTTGTCGTGCCACAAGCAAAATTTTTTTATCAAGGTCAAATATAAAGAAATAGAATATTAAATCATTATTTAAATTATTATATTGAAAAAGTATTATTTAAATGTATAATTCTTAAAATATTTTATTTTACATTATATTAACACAAAAAAAAGAATAGTATAATAAAATCCGTTTTTTTATATCTAGTTCTTAAAATTAAAAAAATATTTTTAGAATATTAAAATTATAATTAAGCATGTCAAGTGCTAAAAATATATATAACATTTTGCTATAAATATTTTTAAAAAAGGCTAGCTATTTGTGGCTATCGATAAACAATGCAATTTATCGTTATAGATTCTGCTAAATGTGTATGTACATATATACGGAGGCGTTATGAAGTACTAAAAAAGTACATTCTAGTGTAGGGCGCAAAATTTAGACGGCCATAAAATTTTAATAGGTGGGAACATACGAAAATTGATTGCTCCGACTGTGATGTCATCAATGTCCCTATCCTAAAGCTCTGAAGCTGCAGATATTCACTACCAGTACTGAAAATCTATAGTGTACGTTACGTGCACTATAGATTTTTAGCACTAGCAGTGAAGAAATTGATGAAACTACCTTTCTTTTGGTTGTTGATTTGTTGCGGTTGGCGGGAGGTTGGTGTTTCATACCTGGCAACCCTGGGAATGAGGCGCTTAAGACAGTCGTGATACCTCCGCGTATACAATCTCATGTAAATTACCTATTTCGAATATCTCGAAAAAACGTATTAAAAAATGTTTTGAGACAAAAATTGTATGGTGTGTGTATATGTATCGATATCACAAATCAGAACTTGTACTTCATCGTCGTAGGTGGAAAATTTACTATTTTAGAAGAACCCTGTATTTAAATTCTTCATAACATGGGTAAAAAGTAAGGTATTGAAAAAGAGCATTTTATGAGAGATGAGCAATACATTCATGACTGCTGATCGGAATTTCAAGATTTACCTCCTTTACAAAAAAAAATATATCGTTACAGAAAAATAATTTTTTCATTCCAAAATGGAAATGTTGAATACTCAATTTTTATAATAATAGTATAATAATAGTAATTATAAAAAATTATCACGGTCAAAAAGTAACATTTTTCAGATTGTGTTAAATATATTAGTCAATTATTTTTCTTCATACAGAGAGGTATACTTATTCTTGCAGATTTTAGGAGCGTTAGGAACAGAAAACAATAGGCCAAGCTCTGCGGCACAATGCGTCGCTTATGTTGCTGTTGCCGAGTTGGCAGTCGGGGAATGGAGCGAATTAATTCCATTGTTAGTCAATAATGTTGTCAACCCGTCCAGTACCGAGATGATGAAGGAGGCTACTTTAGAGACTATTGGATATATCTGCCAAGAAATCGATAGCGAAGTGCTAGTATCACAATCAAATGAGATTCTTACTGCTATCATTCACGGTATGAAGGGTTCCAGCACATCAAATCACGTTCGACTAGCGGCTACAAGCGCTCTATACAATTCCTTGGAGTTCACCAAAGGAAACTTTGAAAAAGAGGTTAGTATCATATTAGTATCATATTAGAATCATTGACGCGAATATCATTTTTATATACAACTGTGATACAATTTATACAATAAGTAACTAATGTTTTGACCTTTTAACTCTATATATAGACGGAACGAAACTTCATAATGGAAGTAGTATGTGAAGCCACTCAGTCTACCAATACTCAAATCAGAGTGGCTGCATTACAGTGTCTTGTGAAAATTATGTCACTGTATTACCAATACATGGAGCCTTATATGGGTCCAGCATTGTTTCCTGTAAGTGTTATTTGTGTAGATTTCAATTGTCCTTTCAAAATATTACATATAATAAATATAATATACTAAATATAGTGTATATTTCATTAATAGAATTTTTGTTTTAGATTACATTAGAAGCTATGAAATCTGATATTGATGAAGTGGCACTTCAAGGAATAGAATTTTGGTCGAATGTATCTGATGAAGAAGTGGACTTATCAATGGAAGAAGGAGAAGCATCGGAAGGAGGTCGCCCACCGCTAAAAGTCTCGCGTCACTATGCTAAAGGAGCTTTACAATACTTAGTACCAGTGTTAATGAAGAAATTGACCAAGCAAGAAGAATTTGATGATGAAGATGATTGGAATCCTTCAAAAGCTGCTGGAGTTTGCTTGATGTTGTTGTCGTCTTGCTGTGAAGAAGCTATTGTTCCGTTTGTTCTTCCTTTTGTCAAGGATAATATTAAAAGTCCCGACTGGAGGTATAGAGATGCGGCTCTGATGGCATTTGGTTCGATTCTTGGTGGTTTAGAACCTGCCACATTGAAACCGTTAGTGGAACAAGCCATGCCAACTCTCATCGAGCTGATGTACGATAACAGTGTAGTTGTCCGTGATACTGCGGCATGGACATTTGGCCGCATATGCGAGATGATTCCAGATGCCGCAATCAACGAAACCTATCTGAAGCCATTGCTGGAATCTTTGGTGAACGGATTGAAGGCAGAACCACGGGTTGCTGCCAATGTATGTTGGGCATTTACAGGATTAGCAGAAGCGAGTTACGAATCTGCTGAGGCGAGCGAAGATGGCAATCAACCAGAAACGTACTGCATGTCACAATATTTCGATTTTATCATTCAACGACTTTTGGAAACTACTGATCGACCAGATGGAGCTCAAGCGAATTTGAGATCTGCTGCTTATGAGGCTCTCATGGAGATGGTGAAAAACTCACCGCGTGATTGTTACGTAACCGTACAAAAAACTACAATGGTGATACTTGAGCGGCTGCAACAGGTATTGCAGATGGAGTCGCACATACAGAGTCATTCGGATCGTGCCCAATATAATGATTTGCAGTCGTTGCTTTGTGCGACTTTACAGTCAGTCTTGCGTAAAGTCACTACAGAGGACGCTCCGCAAATATCTGATGTAATAATGACCGCTCTGCTTTCTATGTTTAACTCAAACTCCTGCAAATCAGGTGGTGTACAAGAGGATGCGCTCATGGCAGTCTCGACCTTGGTTGAGGTGTTGGGCGAAGGTTTCTTGAAGTATATGGAGGCATTCAAACCTTATCTCTGTCTCGGTTTGAAGAATTATGCCGAATATCAGGTGTGTTGCGCAGCAGTCGGTCTCACCGGTGATATCTGCCGTGCCCTCAAAAACAAGATGCTTCCTTATTGCGATGAAATTATGACTCTGTTGTTGGAAAACCTCAGCAATAACGCCGTTCATCGCTCAGTTAAACCGCAGATCTTTTCGGCTTTCGGTGACATCGCCATGAGTATCGGACCGGAATTTAAGATATATTTGGATGTTGTATTGCAGACGTTAGTGCAAGCATCGCAGGCTAACGTAGATAGAAGCGATTACGATATGATCGATTATCTCAACGAGTTACGTGAGGGCGTGCTCGAAGCTTACACTGGCATAGTTCAAGGTCTCCGCGGTGATGCGAATAATTGTCCGGATGTCGCTATTTCTCTTATCGAGCCTCATGTGCCGTACATCATACAATTTATCACCTCGATCGCGCAAGATCGCGAACATTCCGAGGGTAATGTGTCGGCCGCGGTAGGCCTGCTAGGCGATCTCGTCATGGTATTCGGAACCAAATTATTGCCCATGGTGGAGAGCGAGCCGCTCAATGATTTGCTGACCAAGGGTAAGAAGTCACGTACTCACAAAACTAAACAGCTGGCGAGCTGGGCTGCAAAAGAGATTCGAAAGCTCAAGACTGCTGCCAACCCTACGTCCAGTTGGTGAGTACCTTTTCTTTATATTCTCTCGACTTGTTTTATATGCTATCTTTAATTAATTCGCAAAGTTCTCGATGCGATTTGATCATTTTAATCGACGCGCGATGCACTAACACTGCATATTATTTTGAATTTGACTTTTCGCATTCCGTTAAAGGGATGAAATTTATCTTCATTATTTTTGTTGTTCCTTTTTTTTTGCGCTTTTCCGCACTCCGCCTTTATCATGCATATTCGATTTTACTATATCACCGTACATTCTTCGGTTGTTAAGTTTAATTTAACTGGCGAGCTTTTCATAGCAAAGATAGGATGTAGTTAGGATAGAATTATTAGACGAAACAGAGAAGGGGGAGGGCGGAAGATAGAGAGAATGAAAGCGAGAGAAAGAAAGAGAGAGAGAGAGAGAGAGAGAGAGAGCGCACGTGAGCATTGAAGAATCACTTCAATGTTGATAGGAATGCACTACCTTTTGTCGTAGCGTTGTTTTCTGTCCCTCGGATTCCCCCCGTACGCGATTTGAAACGTCCGCTCGAAACTCCCCCTCTCCGAAAAGAACGAGCACCGATGAGCGACGGTGACTGATATTTGGCTCGCTTTTGTTGTTTACAGATCACCCCACGGTTGTACTGTCGTGCAATTTGATTTGACTAGAAAGCTATCAAACACAATACAAAGACAACAAGATTGGATGGTGCGGATGCGAGTTGATGGATGTGCGTGAGTTCCGAAGCGATGATGACGAGATGGGAGTGATGAGTCTGCACGTGTCCCTATCTGGCGACGGTATTTTATTGATATAATATATCGGTGTTGAGCGCATCTCATATGATACGAGAGAAAGGAATTTTTAGCGAGAAAGCGAGAATGAAAGAAAGAGAGAAAGAGAGAGAGAGTGAGATAATGAGAGAATAAGAAAAATAAATACCTGTCTGCCGGATGCTGACAACGGATGAGGAATGCAAGTGGATGTTGCCGATGAATGAATCAAGGTCAAGTGAAAAGCCTGCCGAAAAGAGAGAAATGATTCTGGTTGCAAGTATGCCTGGTACAAACAAGCCCTGCGGCTTTTATCCGTGTGATTGAGAAATTAAAACCTAAGAAGAGAGAACGAGAGAGAGAGAGATAGATAGATAGAGGACAACTTCAATGAACGATTACCTTGAGCAATGAGAAAAATTAATGGAAGAAGACATGAGAGAGCGGATAGGAATACCAAGCGAAGTGGATGGAGAGTATACACATACGAGTGATGGAGAGTGAGAGTAAGAGACTCAGGGAGAATTTCTGAAACAAAGTGTTAGCATGATAGATACGAAAGAGAGTGAATGAAAAATGTAGTAAAATATATGATATAATCATGCGTGTGTGTATGTGTGTGTCTGTGTGTCTGTATTATATGTATGAGAGAGAGAGAGAGAGAACGAGTCTTTTATTTACAGTGACTTACCGTTGACTCGCTGTAAAGCTCGTACCGAGCTTTTCAATGACGTGCATCAGATTTTGAATCGCGGTTTTTAGCCACTAATGCTTAGAACTACGCTGAATTTACCTGCGTAGAAAGAGAAAGAGTATCGCTTTCCTATACAGAATGAAGTTTGAATGGACAGCGCAGGAGAAAGAGAGAGAGAAAGAGAGAGACTGATTGTGAGTGCGAAAGGTGTGTCGAGAAGATTACAGACCTCAACTTGGGTGCCCCTTAATCCGATCATGCTGCGCGAGAATCCGTGTGACCAGTTGTGTATGAGATGATGCGTATGTTACTTTTTCCCCATACGTGAATGTCTGTTGCTGTTGATTGGATAATTAAAGTTAATATTTTGATGGCACAAATGATTTAGTTGTACCGAAGTCCTCGTCCGGCCTGAACGTCCGTAGGAGCAAATGATCTCGAATGCTCAAGAACTCCCCAATTTCCTCAAACTTTCTCCCCTTATACTCCCGTCGATATCATATAAGTCCTTTTTAATAGTCGGTCAAGTATATCGCGCGATCACGGTACTCACGAGTGGTGTCGCAGACGAGGAGCTTTTCGCACTGCCATTTGGAACAACGCTGCACAGCTTGTCCAGACATTTTTTAAACACTCGTTTCTTCCTCTCTTCTCTCCCCGTTCGTAAGGCGTCTGGACCACTCGAGATCTATCCTGGGTGAGATTGTCTTCCTGATCGTATGTTATTGTGCAGAAACGCCCGTCGTTCCCGTGTTTGCTCGACGGGAGTGTCTTTTCGCGGATCGTTAGGACTTTGAGAAGATACCGTGATCGCGTTTAAACTGACCGAATTCTGTCAAACGGATAATTGATGTAGTCAGTCGTAGCCTGGAGAGAAGTAGTCTAGTGGAATTTTCTTTTTCGTAGGAATCTAAGTTCGCGGTGAAATCACGCGCTTTGATTTGTGCGAAATCGCGAAAAATCTCTTCTCCACGTTCGACCGGGATGTCTAAAGTATCCTACATCTCTACCTCCGTTTATACTGCGTCCTTGATGACGATTAGTCAGTGCCGTGCTCTTTGACCGCGAATTGTTGTCGCGAGTTCGTTCCGTAGAGTCGCGAAGCCTCCTTTTTTCTAATTGTGATCCGCGATTTTTAGCGACATTTTGCAGTAATATCGTAATGCGGAGTTACGTCACGTCATCGTCATCGTCGTCGTCGAGAAACGTGTCTGCGGTAGTGCCATGCATTCCAAATGCTTTTGCCAGTAGATCCTTCTTTCGTAATTTGAATATTTTGTAGCGATTTCGCGTTCATACATACCTTATATATCCTTACACTCTTATCGTGATTTTCCAAGTGCGAGAGGGAGATAGTATATTAATATAGGAAAATCTCTAGTTTTTTGAATTTATTAAACGCGAGGCAAAAAACGTATTTTGACAAATACCGGCGCGGAGACATACGGTTTCGGAAGTTTTATCGGCACCGACGAATTCAGTGTAACACATAAATTATGTTTCACTGATTTATTTTTGTGTCTCTGAAAATTAAAATTTTTGTGTGTCTCCTTAATCGTTCATCGACGAGACCAATGCACTTTTCAAACATGCTCAAACAATTTTTATATTTATGGATTACTTTGCACATAACACGCAATAACATTGATTAGCATATTGTCCCGCATAAATGTTGCCACTGTATTTCGTAGCCTGGGTTTTTACGAGAAATATTTTTAGATACTTAACTCGCACAAATTCTAGAAAAATAATTTCTTGATTTTTATTGTTTATTTAAGAGGTGTGTGTACGTCAATTTGATTTTTTTTATTCACCTATCTATTAAATTCAATATCGATGACAATGATAATCATAATACTATCTTCGATTGTAAGAGATATTGTCAAATTGTAAATAACCAAATAAGAAGCGTTTAATCGTCGACTTGAAATCTACTTGTCGAGTTAATATCAAAGTTTAATGTGGGAGATATATATACATATATATATATATATATTGAGATCACTTCTCTAAGAGAAGACTAAACTATTTTTCTAAGATGAGATCTTTCATAAAATACGAGATAAAATAAAATAAAATGTCTTGTGAAAACACAGGGAAACGTTTCGAACTTGTGGCAATATTTATATAATTTATTCGAACTGTATTGTAAATATATATATCTATTTTAAAGCGATTATGTTAAATACCAACAATTTTCAAAAATCTATTAAACATATATCTGTAATATTCTTTTGTTTTAATTAATAAACTATCAAATAATGTCAAATTTGTGACATCAGTGATTCTGACATACAAATTCATTAAATATTTCGGTAGTATTTTATATTTATAAAAAAATTGATTATTCTTGTCGAAATACGATGCCCTGAACGAATTTCGCCGAAATTTGCCGTTTTAACACGATTATCACCGACGGCGGTTAGTTAACAATCGCAATCAATTTCTTGATCGCGATGGACTCGATAAAGAGACGCGTGTATATTCTTTTCTTTTATACATTCCATTTAGTAGAGATTAGGTAGAAAGAGAGAGAGAGAGAGAGAAAAGAAAAAAGAGAATGAAAGTGCTACAACGGAGAGGATTTCCGTATCTTGTAAAGAACTCGATCACTCGCCTATTCTTCTGATTCGCAAGTTCGAGAGTTTGCAATTTCTGTGTGTGACGGTCGTCGGAATTCGCAGCGTTCCGATTTTGGTGCTGAGATCGATTGTTCTTTTAAAATTAATCTGGTGCTAAATTGTATGAAATCGTAACGATGATTCTGAGATCAATCAGTCACGTTATTTGTATTGATTGATTGTGCATTAATGTACATATTTATAGAGTTTTATTATTATTAACAAAGATTACATTATATCATCTCTATAAAATGTAAACGGTTTAATCTATATATCTTTTTTTATTAACTTTAAATTATTATTGAATTATATATATATATAAAACAAAAAAAAATTGCTTCAGGTTTAAACAAAAATAGGAAAAGAAAGTTATACAATTTAATTTGTTGAACAATAGAATTTATAAGAATTTTATAAGATAGAAATATTTTTCTCCTTAAAGTTCATAATTTATTGTTAAATATTCAATAGTAAAAGATCTCTGATCAAATCTATATTGAGAGTTATCAAAGGCTAGAAATATGACTAAGAATGTAATTATCGTTCCGATTAATATTTTAAACGTTTTCATATATATTATATTCATTTATTATAATACTTATATAACCATGAGTTTCTTTTTGAAAAGATCTCAATTTTTGCGCGAAATCGCCGCGAATTGCGTCGCCGAATTCGCCAATAAGGGGAAAAAGGCAGAAAGAGAGAGTCAGATGCGAGAATGAAGCGTGAAATCGCTGAACGGATGAATCAAAGATATGTGATGTAAGAGAAAGAGAGAGAGAGAAAGAATGAGAGAGAGAGAAAGAGAGAGAGAGAAAGCGTAGGAGACGAAGCGACGAGATACAGAAGTGACAAAAGATACAAAAATACAAAAAAAGAAAAAATAATAGATATATATGTGACTGTGATTTTTGGAGAGAGACTCTCGTGTGCGAAGAGTCGACGTTCTATCCTGAAGGGAGCACGGTCCTCGCGACCTTTCGCGATCCTTTCGTCGATCGTAGAGACGAAACTCTGGCGGACGATCCTGATCCTAGCATATCCTACGATCAAAGCTCCTTCTCTTTCTCCTCTACCTCGACAACCTGATCGAGCCTGAAACGCACATGTCGGGATCGTGGCCAGAGGTAAACTCGCTCTCGAGTACCGTGCTTCATCAGACTGGCTTCGTAACGAGTATCGATATCCTCGTCAGAATAATTAATTCTTTATCCTGTAGACTAGACACTTCTTAATCAATCCCTATTTTTTTATCGAACGAATTAAAAATTCCTTTAACAGAGCTTCGGATAATCCGTGCAACAAGAGAACTCTATATATTCCAAAAATTCGTATGCCAAAGATTTCTTAAAAGTGATAGGAGATTAACACAGGAAGTGTTAATTCAACGTGAAAAAAAAAATTATCGGATTCCGATGCCGCTCTGTGAGAAGATCACTGTAGACTGTAAGTCAATCGCAAAATATTCGCGCGAAGCCTACGTTCTTTATAATAGATTTTTCCGCCGTAACGACGTCTTCGTGACGATTCGGAGGAAGTGACGTAACACGTCCTTGCAGCGGAAGATCCTCGATGCGTGATGAAACGAGGATTTCTCGTCGGCATGCGAAGCCAGCCTGGGGAACTTATAATAGCACGACAAAGCGACTTATCTTGTCGACTAATTAGTTGTTTAGCCTTTTCATCGTCGAGACTCCTAGAGTGCGTGCGATGCTTACCAGAGCGAACGTACGTGATATGAGCGTATTTTACGTAGTATATTTAAAAGTCGTGTGCATTACGCTGTATCAGTGATGATGTGCGCTGTGAAGTAAGTAAGGAAGTTTACCAGGGATGCGTCGATGATGATTGATGGAGCGGATCGGAGAGAGAAGATGGTGATGATAATAATGCTGATGTTGATGTTGATGTTGATGTTGAGGATGATAATAATGATGAGGATGTTGATGATAATGTGGTTGGCTCGTGATTCGTCGTGAATCGCGGCGTCACGTTCGAGAAGAGAGAACGGATCGTCGATGCATGGAGAAACAGAAGGCCAAGCAAATATGTAAAAGTAAATATAAATTTTGTATCGCGAGGCGGGCTGGATCGCGCCGCTTGTCGGCCTGCGGGATCGATGGAAAATTTCCTGAGGAAATGTGAGCGCACTATATTATTAATATACTAATCTCTATATAGCTAATACACTGACGTATATTTTTGGATCCAAAAATTATAATGGAGTATTTTTAAAAATACTGAGGAAGAGAAAGATCGACAGCATATGTTTTTCATCTTTCTCTCTTTACGACTGCCTTCATATCTTGTTGCAACTGCATCTAGTATCTTTTAATTTTAAAGTACATTTTTGACGGGGGGGGGGGGAGATTTAAACATTAGATCACAACAACTACCTTACAAAAGCGGTACAATATTGCTGTTTTTTGAAGTTTCCAGATGATCCCGCGGGCTCGCGAGCGTCTTCGCGATTCGCCTTTCGCCTGCGGTGTCCTTGTACGTACGAGACAATATTTTCGATAATATTTTTTAACGATCGAGTCGCGAAACACGAGCCCAACGCGTAGATCTGTTGTTCGATGCTTGAAACCGCGCGGCGGTGGCGACGAGTGCATCGCAGGAGAGTAGAAGCGAGTATTCCTATTTTTTTTTTTCCTTTATTCTCGACGATATTGCCGAAAGAGAGTATTCTACTTGGAGAACCGATTGAACTTTAAATTGCAGAAGTTGCGATTGAAGTCCTTTCATTGCATCGCGAACGC